TTTCCCTTGTTTGATTTTTTTCAATAAATAGTTCAATATTAGAAAACATTTATAAACTGTAATATTAGTAATGTTTTGAATCAGTATCATTCTCTCTAATTCAGAGAAAACACATCTTTACAAACTGGATTTAGAAATAACTCTTTTATTAAAAAAAAGTCAATAAATCGGCCAAGACTGGGAGTAATTAAGTACACAGAACCTAAGTTTTCAACTTCACTGACAAACATCCAATTTTCTCGCAGGGAACCTGCTTGGTTTTCTATATTAATTATAAATAAAAAAAAAAGTTCATTGAATCTCAATCTAAACAGGCTAAGAAGAATTAAAGCAAAATAATTATAGTTATTCTCAGTGGGGTGACAGATTCATTTAAAACAGCTTAGAGGCTGTATCTATAAACACTATGTGGGCAAACATTTGGAGAACCTGATGGCAGGGATCGAGAGAAAGGAATGTCAAGTTACAATTGGTTTCCTGACCAATTATAGGCTCGGGGTTACACACAGTGAAAGCTTCTGAGGAGAATTCTCGCTGAGAAAGACCTCTTAAATTTCATTCTTAATTATTTCAGTGTAAAATGCCTGTGTCATGCTTTAACAATATTTTAAAATTTGAATTTGACCAAAGGACCTTCAAAAGTAACAAGTTTTGACATTAATATGAAAAAGCATCAGTTGTTGAAGTATAAATATATTGTTCCATTCAATATTGTGTTTCCATACACTGTTATTTTCTTGATTGATGGAAATTACACTAGTATTAAAATCCTATGGAGATTTGTGAAACATAAAATGGCAAATTCAAGGACAGTACTTGTTTACTTTGCTAACATAAAATTGTGGTTCTTTTTCCAGTATTTCTAATTAACTGTAACAAATAATTATCCTTCCATAGCCCACTGTCTTATTCTGATGATTGATCAGACAACATTTGATACCAATATATAGCAGGGCACCTGCTGAGGTTCAGCTCTTCCTCAGTATGACACTAATGCTTGAGCCATAAAGTACTGTACCTTGTGGGCAACCTGGAATTTTTAACTATAAGACATTATTTACTGCTCACTGTGTGCCAATTTTTGGTTACTTGTTTTGAACATATATTTTATTGACAGTATGTCAAAGGGATTGGACACAAGTTTCCCAAACTTTGATAGTCCTCTCCCGTAACATTTTGTTACCATATATACTCGCCTCTAAGTCGGTTTTTTTTGATTAATCTCAGGTCCAAAACTCTTTGTCCAACTTATAGGCCAGCTATTAAAAGTATGGCTTTATACGAGGTTAGTTCATCTGATATGCAAGCTTATTAAATACAACCGACTTATAGGCGAACCGACTTATAAGCGAGTATATACGGTACAATTACATTGACTGTTTTTAAGGTATTAAAATCATCTCTGTCCACTAAATTTTTAAAGATAACCAATTTTTCCCTCTTCTAATGTCACTTATCCACTACTGTTCATACAAAAATATCCATTCACACCTTTAGAAACTTTGCTAAAATCTCTACTGCTTCATTTTAACCTTTCACTTCAGTTAATTCTCATTTCACACCTTTCTCTAAGATATATGGCTCAGAGAGTTGTATTGTTGTGTGTATCCCGTATTCATGCTCCATTTTGTTTGTGGTCAGACATGGGTCAAGTTTCTGATTTTACATCTTTATATTAAGATAAGAGAGGGAAATTTCTACATTACATGTATACTGAAGTTAAATAAGCTTAGGAACATTTATAATTTAATGAAATGACCATGGTCATCAATAAAAGCTCCCTTTTTTATTACGTACTATATACTTTACAACCACACAGAAATTAAATGAAGTAGAGAAAAACTCAGAGAAAACTAATTTTAAAAGTTATCATCAGGAAATTAATATAGTTTTATATTTGTGATGTATAAATTTTAAGCCTCCACACTGTCTTTAAAACCATGAGGAGTTGATTTAAAATTTTCTTTACAAAATCTTAAAAATTTGCATAAAAAACATCATTTTTCGACACCCATTTGGGATCAAATGGGTGTCGAAAAATGTTGTTTTTTTATGCAGGGCAAAATGAAAATTCCGAAACCTTACTGCACATCTACATGACACCACCAACCATCTCACAAAAGATGATTAAGCTAGTACTGTGTAAATTGTAGGAGAAGTTTGAGGAAGAAAAGTGTGACAGACGGACAGACAAACATGAATAACAACAATATACCCGAACTTTCTTTCACTGAGGCATCTAAAGATAAACAATTAACTTTCTATTTCCTTTTTTTTCTATCAATTAATTTAGAAACAAACCATATATCTTGTACACCCTAATATAGTAATTCATAGTTTTAGTTAAAATAAATTTTGTATTATCTTAAATGTAAAATTCTATGATTATCCGATGCCAAAATTTCTCTTCAAATGAGGCCACTGTAATATACTTTGGTATCTCATCTTCCCTCAAAGATGCATGAAAGCCATTAAGCTCCACCAACTCAAAACTTATGGACAAGGTTATAGTTTTTGCAGACATAAGGACAAACAGATAAACAGACAAACTTACAGACAGACAGACAGATGGAGAGGGTAAAACTATATACCCCCGAATCTTTGATTATGGGGGCATAAAAATATTTAGCCATAAAAGTCCAGGGACCTATGGATAGCAATAATTCTTGTACATATATTACAAGTTACCTAGAAGAAAACAATGAGGGTTCATTTTATACTTTGATCCCAGAAAGAATATAGAGTTGAAGATACAGTTACATAATTAATTTTAACCGTGTTTTAATATGGATTTTGGAAATGCTCCAGCTTATCTGTATCATCGTTTTACATTATAAAATAATATTTCAAATGTGCAACTACTAAGAATTTTTATAAACCTAAGATAATAAGTCTCGAGTCTGTGTGTTTTTTTCTACAATGCTATCAAAGACTGGCACGGACAGTCTTCAGAGATCAGAGAGATGAATTCTAATCAATAATTGAATAAATCTGTAAGATTCTTTTTAGCTACAAATGCAAAAGATACTACTACATGATGGCTTGTCTAATTTTACTTTTCATAACTGTATATAGATAACTTTTAAGTTACAAATGAAAAACTTATGAGAAACATGTCATTATATTCCTGAAAAGTACCCTGCTTATAAATTCTATCATATGTAATTTTTATGTAATTTTTTCTTTGCTATTAACCTAATTGTAATTAAAGCACCACATTGTGAATAAGCATCCTTAGGTAATGTGAATCATCTGTGTCATGCAACTTATATAATAATACACTCTTCAAAATATTTAGAAAAGCCTAAAAGGAATAGTAACCAGAAGTCTCTGTCGAGACTGAAGCTCTACTGGGTTGAACTTATAGCAAAGGAAGAGAAAAGTACTTAAGCAGCTGGGATTTGAAACTAAATAGAATAATGATCGTTGATAAAGTCTCTTTATGTTCTTAGTGTAGTCTACTTGTGTGCCAAGTTATACTGAAATCAGACCAAAACTGTAGGAGGAGTAGCATTTTGAAACAATTTTACAGACATTTCTATTTTTAGTAACCACGGCAACACCGTTCATCAAAATTAAAATTTGATACACAGAATTATGTATCTTAGTGTATTCTACTTATGTGCCAAGTTATATTGAAATCAGACCAAAACTGTAGGAGGAGTAGCATTTTGAAACAATTTTACAGATATTTCTATTTTTAGTAACCACGGCAACACTGTTCATCGAAATCAAAAACCGATAAACAGAATTATGTATCTTAGTGTATTCTACTTGTGTGCCAAGTTATAATGAAATCAAACCAAAACTGTAGGAGGAGTAGCATTCTGAAAGAATTTCACAGAAATTTCTATTTTTAGTAACCACGGCAACACCGTTCATCAAAATCAAAAACCGATATACAGAATTATGTATCTTAGTGTATTCTACTTGTTTGCCCAGTAATACTGAAATCAGACCAAAACTGTAGGAGGAGTAGCATTTTGAAAGAATTTCACAGAAATTTCTATTTTTAGTAACCACGGCAACACCGTTCATCGAAATCAAAAACCGATACACAGAATTATGTATCTTAGTGTAGTCTACTTGTGTGCCAAGTTATAATAAAATCAAACCAAAACTGTAGGAGGAGTAGCATTCTGAAAGAATTTCACAGAAATTTCTATTTTTAGTAACCACGGCAACACCTTTCATCAAAATCAAAAACCGATACACAGAATTATGTATCTTAGTGTAGTCTACTTGTGTGCCAAGTTATACTGAAATCAGACCAAAACTGTAGGAGGAGTAGCGTTTTGAAAGAATTTCACAGAAATTTCTATTTTTAGTAACCACGGCAACACCGTTCATCGTAATCAAAAACCGATACACAGAATTATGTATCTTAGTGTAGTCTACTTGTGTGCCAAGTTATATTGAAATCAGACCAAAACTGTAGGAGGAGTAGCATTTTGAAAAATTGTTTACAGACAGACGGACAGACAGACGGACAGACGGACGGACGCCGGACGCATTACTATCGCATAAGCTCTTCTGGTCTCTGACCAGTAGAGCTAAAAATCAGATCTGTGTCTCCATTTAAATTCATTGTAATGGACACTGTGAAAAGCCTCAGTAATCACTTAAATCTGTAAAGTGTCCAAAAATCGCTTTAATATGTAAACACCCTTATTCAAGTGGACTCTCTAACAGTTACCCTTACTTTGCCTAATTTTGAAGCAATAAAGTATTAAAAAAAACATTTCAACCCAATTTTATATCTAGAGTTGACTTTTCATGTTCCTTCATGAATCTGGTGAGTTTGCTATATTGTATCTTTACTAATGTGATTTGATAAAGATGGCACTAGCTTTTGTCTGGCTTGTATTCTATTAATAAAAAATCTCTGTTTTCTAGATTTTTTTCTGTTCAATTTATAGACAATCTATCAGAAGGGGAGAATTGATGACTATCATCTTTACTTCCTGGGAAAAAAATGAAGACTTATTGCTATAACTTACCTCATCCTTGGTGGCCAGGTTATTCTGTAAAAAGAAAATAAATCTGATAAGTTTTCTTTATCTATAAAACTAAAATCATCATAACTTTACAATTAATTACAATCAACCTTACAATTAATTTATCTTTCAAATTCTATTTCATTTTATTAAAAATTATCTGAAAGTAACATAACAATTTTTAAAAATTTGAAAATGCATTGCATTTTGTGAAATGCAAGCTAAATTTAACAACCAGACACACTGCCAGCTCTTTTAAGTTAGAAGTCTAGCTCAGTATTGTGAATTACTACAAATAAGATCGGAGTTGGAATAAAACTGCTGACCATTCCTATGCTTATGGTCAGGAACTGCCTCCGTTATCCCTTGGATAACAATATATTCATTATACAAGACAATTATCTTATGGGTCCCCAAAGGTCTTGCAATGTCAACCCTGGAAGCCAGGAAATCCAATTTCTTGTCACTTGTTCTGACACTATGGGGCTAATTTCATGAAATGATCACTTAAGATGGGCATTCTGTATAACTGTATGTCTTACACTCAAGCTTCTGGCAATAAATTTCACCTAGTTTCTCTTGGACATGAGTTTGTTTAGACAACACTCGGATGGCACGAAGGAAAACAAACCTTTACTTGATAATTGCTCAGTTTTTTGGGAATCCATCATTTGCTCAATATTGCCAACAGCAGGAAAACTTGTCTGCTTCATGTTTTTAATTCTCAATTTGAATTCTTCAACAAGTTTTTCAACCTCCTTCACAATTTTGGAGATTATAAACATCATCATATGGATTTTTCATGTCAGCTTCACAAAAAAATTCAGGTTATCAATTCTAAAGCCAAGGTTTTCTTAATGAACTTCTCACTTGTCAAAGCAACAAACACCACTCAGAACATAGTAGTATCTGTAAATTAGGGATGTCAAATCGGTCAATTTTTAATACTCGGTTACTCGGACGTTTTTCCGATCGAGTACCCGGGTACTCGGTAAAAGTGTAAATAAATATGAACAAGTAACATTGATAACTGTAAAACATTATAAACTCTTGCAGAAATAAAACCACATGCTCCGATGGGATGTTTACCCGTAAATCTGATGTAATAATTATGAGCATGTCATGCCAGACGAAATTTAATGTAACATTTTTTTTAAAAGTTTAATTTATTTATCAAATAAACACAAGGAATTAAATCATTGGATATCACTTTTTTAAAGCCTCTGCCTTCAACCATTTTAATTAACTGGCCATGTTTTTATATATATATAATTATGCAAGTTATTCTTTTGAAGGTTTGTAAAAACTTATTTCACATACCATTGGAAAACTTGACAATACTGTACATGTTTTCAACTCAAATGTGTCAGTAATGTACAGTCAAATCTCATTATATCAAACTTGATGGGATCCAAGATAAGATATGAGGATTCAAGATGGGTACAACATTTAAAGAAGAAAAGGTTTGGACTGGTGATACATTTTGTTATGTTGTTTGAGATATCGGTGTTTGAGATACATTAGTTCAATTGTATTTAACTAGAATTCAAGAAAAGTATATACATGTACTGTGAGAGATATCTTATCTATAGGGCCAGATGGATATGTTTAGTTTAATGAAACTTGAAAACAATGAAACACAGCAAACACAGCAGGTTACAAAATTGAAAAACAACTTTGTTTTGGTCAAGAACAGAAAGCTCTGCGACATTTATGTAATATCCAATAAGTGTCAGGGCAGTCATGAAATCTACCGAGACCTTCCTTGATTCAACTCCCGGAGTGTCCTTAATAATTAAACTGTCTGTCGTGTTATATCCCTGTAGAATTGTTCCTTCATGTATTTTCATCAATCATACCCTAGTTAATCCATTTATGTATACCAACACGCAAAAGAAATGTGACATCTTATTTTTAGAGAAAAAACAAAACATTGGGTATAATTTTGAATTGTAAAGTTTTACTGTCGATAAACAATTAATATTCTCATTTGTTTCCTGACTCAAGACCTAAACCAATTCAATGGAAACATTAAATTGCATGTCTTTCATTTCAAAGCTCAAGGAAAACTGATCATCTTACTTTTTCTGCCAAAAATGACTTTTTGACCTTGACAGCTTGACCCCAAGAATAAATAAGAATCTTTCTGAATTTGATATGAAATTTAATTTGCAAAAGATTTCATCCTGCAGCTAGTGTACTTTTTCATTACATATATGAAATTTGTGACCTTGGTCTTTGACCTTTTGACCTTAACATCAACAAGGAGTTTTCCTTATTAACAGAATTTATGAAGTTTTATTGTAAAAGCTCGAGATTTAGCAATACTATTTGGAAATGAACGTTTTCCAGACAGACCCATTTTTAGTGACCCTAAAGGAGAGGGCACTGATCAATTTAAAATATGACAGAAGTTCTAGTTCTTATGAACATCTTCAGTTATTTTTACCCTAAATGAATAGATTTGAAGCCTGTCATATTTGACATATATATTATATATGACCAGAAGCCTTGGTAATGGTAATCCTATTATCCAATAGATTGCTTTTACCCAAACCAGATTGTTGATGGTATACATGATAATGTTTCCCGTAATATGAATTGTTTATACTGTATATGAGACTCTTATGACAATTTATTCCACCAGGGCCCATTTGTCAAGCTTAATCAATCAGAATCATAATGCTCAAATCTTAATTTATCATTAGTAAATAAGGACATGCTCAAGTTTGTTCTCCAGGAAACGTGATCAATGTCAGATTGTCACCATATATAAGAGTCTCCAAAGCAGCTCAGCAGCTCAGACCAGTCAATGGTCAGTGTATAAAGGTACCGAATACTGTACAGGATCAAAAGACTGTCATAGAAACATGTGTCCAATAAAGAGTTAAAACTGAGGACAACATGCATCATTAGTCATTACAGATAGCATGTCATTAATTTAACCTGTGTTATAACTTCAATTTCCTATATTTTTCAGAAGAATGACAGAAACACAGGATGACAACCCTGGAACTAATATCACCATGGCGATGACCCTAACCAACAGCAGTATCCTTGTTTCGTCTGACCAGAGCACAGTCCCACCTCAGACCAGCTCCGATTTAGACGCCATTGACATCCTCAATAACTTTGGACTTCCAACTGTGTGTTTGTTTGGAATTGTGGGAAATATCTTAAACCTTACAATTTTAACTCGACGAAAACTTCGGCGCTCATTACGGACAGTAGAACAAGCCGCTAACTTGTGCCTGATAGCTCTAGCTCTCTCTGATTTCTTGTTCTGTTTGTTTGCGTTCCCGACGACGTTTCTACCCAGTGATTACTACACAGAGAAGGGCTTTATTCTGTATTACGGGCAGTATTCGCCTGCCATCATCAACGTCTTCATCCTCACCAGCACATGGCTTACTGTTACTATGGCAACAGAACGATACATTGCGATTTGTCACCCATTGAATCAAACCTTATTGATGACCTTAAGAAAGACAAAGTTAATAATTATTATTGTATATATTTTATCTGCGCTATTTAACGTCCCAGTGCTTTGGAGAAATCAAGTTGTGGAGACGGTGATTGGTAACAACACAGTTGTCTACTCTCTGAAAATCATACCATTAGGACACGACACGATGAAGGATACTATATACCGAGTGGTGTGGGCTATTCTAGGAAACTTTATACCTCTCATTCTATTGGTCGGCTTCAACATCTGTATCTGTCGCAAGATACACCAGTCGTACTTATATCGCAAGAAATTTCACTACGACCAGGCTTCTTCTCAAGATACCAATGTGACGCTAACAACGACTCTTATTGTCATTGTGGTAATGTTTCTAATCCTGGTGGCACCCTCTGAAATCGTCCTCCATATTGCAAGCATGCTTCACACGGAGAATTACAGGTCCATCGAAGCCGTCATGAACTTCATGCAGTCAGTGAATTTTTCAGTGAATTTTATTTTATACTGTATAATTAGTTCGTATTTTCGTAAGACCCTGAGACATATCGTGTGTTGTTATTGGCGGAACCACAGAAGAGATTCCTATAGACTCAGCATGAAAGAAAGCAAGGTTCCACTACAAAATGTTAATGATGGATTGTAAAAAAAAAACTGATTAATTTTAATCCGAAATCCATCAGTTTAAGGGGGACTTCAGAGCTCAATATCTTGGACAATTTTAGTTCCGATTGGACAGCTCTCAAGTTCTTCATACTTTCAATCAAATACTTCATATTGTTGTAACTTACTGGGCTGAAACCAGGAACAAACTAATGTAACCAAACTTTTTATAATTAAAGACTTTGTAAATTACAGTTCACTCTACAATTAAAATCTTAAATCCTTCAGACTTTTTTTTTTTTTTATAAAAATTTACTCTTAAGGTATAAATAAAATAGTTTCATTTCTATTTTCTAAGTGTTTATACAAAATAAGTGATTAACAAACAATTTCTATTAAAGACAGCTTAATGACACCTTGGTCAATATCTATTCATAATCCCCTCTCTTTAATATCATTAATGGTCAAATAGGCACTGGAATTTATAACTGCTTATCTTGACTTACAAGATTATTAAATTTTTATAAATAAATTGTAACTGTCTAAATATATAAGCAGTAACCATCCACAGAAAGCAATACAGTAAAACTTGGTTATAACAAAGTTGGGGCCTATGAAATTACTTTGCTATATCCGTAATTTGTTATATCCATCTAAGAAATCTTTAAATTTATTTAAAGAATGACTAATTCTTGGCCAAATTATTCTACATAACCTGGTTTAGGTTAGTTTACGCTTTATAATCCGCGAAGCAGATTATAAAAAAGCATAAATTGACCCAAATCAGATTATGCTTGAATAATTTGGCCAAGAATTAGACTCATTCCTTATAATTTCATTTTAAAATAATTAAACAATTGTTAAATTGGGTTGCTTTTTATGAGTTCAAATTTGCCGCTCAGTAATACAGCCATAGTAACAGAAGTGATTGGAAGCAAGGGGAGGTAATAACTAATACGTAGAC